TCAAATAACAATCTAACCCCAACTAGTCGGTTAGTACCCCTTAAATTTTGGGGTACAAAAAAAATTAGCCCTGACGATAATCCCGAAGGGTTCGATTTAAGTAGAGTTGGCTGTATTATATTAAAAATTTCTAAATTATAAATACTATACAAATACAATATATAAAAGTAATATTTTTGTATATAGATTTCATTTAGATTAAAATTTTTACAACTTATTAGATCTATAAAAAAAAAAAAAAAAAAAATCTTTAAAGATTTATTCAAATCAGAATGCGGAATAATATTTTCAAATCAGAATGCGAAATAATATTTAATGAAACCATAAACACAAACAATGACTCTATTGTGAAAACTAAAATAACTACCAATGTGAATTTTAAAATAACTACCAATGTGAATTTTAAAATTATGATTTTATTTAAACCACATTGATTACAAAAACTTTTGTATTTGGCGCATAAATTTTTTACACTATTATAAAACTTAAGCATTACTACCATCACCACCAACATTAAACCCAGGGGCAGAAGCCAGTGTTTCGTTTCGCAGGGCTTGTCTCCGGCGATACTGTCTTTTCCATTTACTATTTCGATATCTCGAATACACAACAAACGCGGCGCCAATTAAGATTATCACTCCGAATATCGACAAACCTATTGGAAGTACACCTAAACTTGACCCTGGCAATGGAGTTGATGAGGCACTTTGGTCTGCAGAATTTACTGGTATAGATGAAGAGTTGGGTAAAGAATCGGGTGCGTTTATATTTGTAATATTCGTAGGTGATGGCTGTTTCGGTGACGTAGTTGTGGCTGCAGCATCTTTAGGATCAGGAGGTGATTTGGGAACACTGGTTGGGGTTGGCTTTGAGGTTTGCTTTGGGTTATTATCGGGATTGGTTGGTTGGGTGCCAGTGGGGACATCGGTTGAGGTTCTGGCCGGGGTATCAGTCGATGTTGCGTACGGAGTATTTTTACTGGGGATATCGGTAGGTTTAGTGGGGTCGTTCGGCAAAGTTGTAGTGCGAGTCTTATGCATTTTGCAGTCCTTAACAGGGTATGATGAGCAGCCGCCCAAAACAGGGGAAAATGGTTTATGAGGCAGATATTTTGGAAATGGCATATTTGCAGCATCGTAATTGTTCTTAAGTTCGAACTCTAGTTTTAAATCAACAATAACCTTAAATTCTGAAGGGCTAAGCATCTTCTCCGACATCTTTTTATTCATTAATTCATTCGTTGGAATTTCGCCATGAACATAAAATTTTTGAATTATCAATCCGTTTTGTTTCCGAGAAAATATAGGTAAAGTAGCAACATGGTAGAATCCAGAAGAATCAAGCTTTAGACGGGACCTTTTGAGAATTTTAATGTTGTGTTCAGAAAATTTAAATGCTACGTGTGAAGGCTTTTTTTTATATTTGTTCATAGAGTCTAATTTGAAAACTGTAAGTTCTCCAACAAACTTTCCAGTGATTTTATTAAACCATGAAATTTGGTAACAGACGTAAATTCCAGCGGGATTCTTTATATCCCAATTGAATGATTCACATCGGCATTGTGCAAAATTTACCCAATTTGACCAAATTTTGGATTCCCGCGAAGAATGATATTCTGAATCACTTGTACACCATTCCTCATTTTCGGACCATTTTTGATAACCTTTTAGACTATTCCACCAAAAAGACTCACATTTCTTAAGACCATTTAACACTAATTTTTTCGACCTTGAGATTGAATTTTTATGTTGATATTTAGAGGTAGCAATGGATACTGGTAAATATTGAGTACATAAGGTAACAAATAATACTAGAACATAAAGACTATACAACATGCGTGTCATTTTAGTTATATGCCAGCACAGAAGTGACACAGCTGCAAAAGTATTCGCAGTCTTAAAGGAAAGAAAAGGGAAGGATCGAGAAAAAAATCCCAACCAGTGGGTGAAAATAATTTAGAGACGCAAGAAAAAAAACACTAATTTATCTATTTTATAAATAATTGGGATCCGAAAATTTGTTGATGATGCACAATTAAATTTTGGTAACCTATTAATCTCTTTTTGGTAAAGAAGAAATGGGTTATTAATTGTTCATTCCTTACACTTATTGTAAATTGTAAATAATTTCAAATAATAATGCCAAATTATCTCTACCCTAAAGCATGACGTTTTCATCATACATTGAAACTTGACAAAAATAATATAGATGCTTGCCCAGACCAACAAACCTTTTATAATTTTTATACAGGTATGTTAAACGGTTACACAACCATGGACTTTGTTTCACTTCCGTCAAAAGATGTTTCGTTAAAATATATACGTAAGGTTTATGCATAACTGCCATATATCTTAAAAGGGACTATAAATGTTTCAAGTATCATGCGTAGAAACTAAAAGTATTGACGAATGTTGATAGACTTATAAAAAGAATAGTCTTTTTCTCATGCATGATTTTAGATATATATTTGTGGAATATATTTCGTTAGTGGCGCAGATCGGTAATAGCATATTAAATTTAAACACTCGAGCAGAAAAAAATCGCATGTATCGTATTGAACAAATTTAGTAGTCGGAATTAATTTACTAAATCACAAAACTAAAGAAACGATACGTAGGAAAATCTGTGGCATGATTTGTAAACTTATATGTGAATATATTTCTTGCACGAATACGGATAATTCTAACAAAGGTTAGACTCGTGAATCTATCGATATATTGGATTTTAACCCTAAATATACATATCTGTATATGGAGAGTTATAACTAAATTAAAAGGCTACCATAATAGTTAGAATATCTGTATCAGTATAACATTAAGATCAGTTAAATTGATCGCTATTGCTGAAGAATTTCATTAGTGCAAATTCAATATCTAGTTTTTTTTTCTTCGGGAAAACAGGTCACTACTACGTATAAGGTAGATTAGTTTGTTAGAAGATCGTAATCCGGAACCTAAGGGATTGTGATCGCGAAAAAATTAAAAATCCCTGATAACCAATAGCGCACGGAACCATATATAATTTGCTCGGAACCACCAGAAGGTTTTTGCATCAATACTCTACGATGTAACCTTGGTTCGTTTGAACAAAGTTGTTGCGTATTCTTTACTAACAAGCTTAACAATTGCAATTTCACGTTTTGCCTCGTCTTATGATCAGTAAGTTGCTTCTAGCCTACAAAAAAATTGCTGTGCTTAATCATTTGACTGATCAATTAACAGACCTACGTTGTTAAAACATAAAGGGTTTAGTTCTCTCTATTGACTGAAACAAGTAAAATCGAGTAGGCTAGTTTTGTCTGTGTATAGTGATCGTACTCTAAGAATAACCGGTTAACCGTTAGGTTACCCCCGATATCCGAGTTGTAAAATTGATTAACAGATTAATACGTGATTAAGATATCCAGTTAACTTATCCGGTTAGCTTAAAAGATTATATATGACTATGTTAAAGCGAATGAGTAGTATATTTTTCATAGGCGAGAACGCATAATAAAGTTTTTTTTTTATTAAAGGAACTTTTTTTAGAACCAATCCTGGATATGGCCGAGTACAACCTTAATGAGACTTTAGGATGTGTATTGAATTGAGTGTAGAGTCAGTATCTTGAATTATAATATAATCGAAATTCTCCAAAGCAAATTTCCCGAATCAGATTCTAGAAAAAATGCATGTATACGTAGTACAAATCGTTATATATAACGATAATAAATGATTTAATGCGATAATTGATTATCTATCGCTATTTTTATATATATATAATGTATACGTAATATAAACTAGGAAAACAGGTACTGTTAATGTCCGAAGCTGCATTTGTGGTTTTGTCGGGTCAAACCTTTTATAAAAAAGAAAAAAACAAAACATACCAAGGGTCTTATGGTACACTTAAGAGTCGCTAATAGTAAGAAAAGCATTTTTATTCACAAGATTTGTTTAAATAACTAGAGAGTGAAATCGGTGAATAATTATTCGAGCATCGATCGAAAATTTCGAACATCGAAATAAACTTCATTCATTGAATTTTAAACTCAGTCAATCATCGAGCATCAGTCAAATTAAAATTTAACTATAAATTTTGATAGTGATAAGTTTTTGATTGATTAATAAATAACAATTTCATAAATTTTATTTTCAAATTTGTATTGTTAAAAAACTCAATTGGACCCAAGATGCAAAAGATTACATGTTTTATCGACTGATAAGCGAAATCAAGTTGAAGAAACTTTATCTAAACAAGTTAGTTCATCGACATCCAAATTAGTTTCTGTAACTAATCAAATGAATGATTTCGAGGTGTGTTGGTCTTTACAAAAACGGCAATTTCCGATTTTAAGTGAAATGGCCCGAAAATTTCTTGCAATTCCTGCAACAAGCACCCAAGTGAACGCTGGTTTTCAGATGCAGGAAATGTTATGAGTGCGAAAAGAACGTTATTAAAGCCAAAGTTATTTGGCAGAATGGTATTTCTAAAGCGTAATATGAAAACAAATGACTTTACTATTCCTGATGCCTAGGATTAGTTTTTATAATATATTGCAAATTATAAGTAAATGTATATTAAATAATGTAGCAATCAATGTTCGAACTCATCGATTCCAATCTCTATAAATAGCATTCGATTTACTATCTAATAATAAAGAAAAAAAAAACCACACTTTTTTTAAAAAAAACTTGATATTTTAATCTTTTAGAATCCGTTTAAAAACACGCAAATCGATATGCAGATAACCCTTTTTATATTAGCATTTTGCTGATCTCCCGAAATTGCTCAAATAAGAAAAAGATAAAAATAGCGTAATACGTAACATTGAACCTACGGTATCTAACTTTTCCTCAAATCATGGCCAGAATTGATTAATCTTTGTATCATTCGATTCGTCTCAGTAAAACGAATCGAATAGTTCTAAAACTTTTTAATTCTGATCGGTATATCGCAAGATATCGCCAAAAAATGTAAATGTACTAAAAATAATCGATTTAAAAAATTTCACGATCAATTTACACATCACGCGACGGATTTGATTACGATCGCGAATAAATTCTAGTGGCACAATTCCTGGATTAAAGTTTCCGACTCAGAAAGGATAATTGGTGAATATACCGTTTGCCACTGTATACAGTACCCGGGGTCTTATTCAAGAACTTCATTTTTTAAATTGAATAGTACCCGTGGGTACTGTGTGAGGAATCGGGTATTATATTTGGGGGATATATCATATGAACAGTAATAAATTCATATAGTTATACCCCCGGGTACTATGGGTACTATTCAAGAATTAAGCCAGGTGGGTGGTGAGTAATACCCGGGTCTTAATCAAGGGGGGTATTATTTTTGGGAACGGTAACCCTCTAGGTTGGAGAAATCCACATTTTTAACATACAGACATAGGGTTGTTACTATATTATTCTGTATTTTTTCATTATATTTTTTTTATAATTATATTAACCGCCAGCATGTAAAAGAACCTTATGCAAACAAAACTCAAAGCTATGTTATCTTAGGAACAATCTTAAGTTATTTCGGCCTTGGGTTTTGAATAGGAGAATCTTATTAGTCGCCGGGATGGGGCTAATAATTTTTTCCTGTCGAACACCACGTTTTATTTGGTTCTTTTACTTATGAAACATAAATATATTTTTTGTTAGTTATTTTTAAGATTGTTACTAATATTTTCCGTGTATATAGATATATATTTTGTTATAAGGTTAAGCCCGTCCCTTCTTCCTCTGATCCGGCTGACCTGTGTCAATTGTTTTGTGGTTTTGAATTGCGCCTTTCACACTATCAATGCCGCTGAGGTTGCTTCTACCACTGCCTCCATTTCTGCACTGCTATACATGGGTGTTTAAATTATTTTGTAAAAAAAGTAATTTTCGACAGATATTTCGATATTGCTAGTTTTTTTATATGAATTCCACAAAGTAACTATACTACCTAATGTATTTTGGCATAAAGAATTCAAATAAATTTACTAAAAATTTCGACAACTATGAAAATTAATTTCGCCACTAAGAAAATTAATTTCGCCACTAAGAAAATTAATTTCGACAACTATGTAAATTAATTTTCGCCACTAAGAAAAATTAATTTCGCCACTAAAAAAAATTAATTTCGACAGACTAAATGTCGAATAATTTTTTGTTAAGAGGAGTAATTTAGACACCCATGTATATGCGCTGCCCGCTACCACCGCCCCCACTCTGATACCCAACGTATCATCTCTGATTTTACCTTCACAAGAGGTTGTTGACCTTGCCATCACCATGTCCCATCATCATCTGGTGCCACAATCTTTTCCGGTTTCTTGCCCTGTCTGCGCTGTCACTTTTGACCGTTTTATCAAAATCGCAATGCATTTAGAGAATACAGCATAGATGATTCTTTAATAACAAATATATTAACACTTGAAGAATTAAGAAAATTAAAAAAAAACAATATGAAACTTTAAAAGAACAATACAAAAATTGTTTCTTGAAACGAATTCCACTTGTTTAAAATAGTGGTTCTTTTTTTTGGTATATGGGGTCTTTGCCTTGCCGACATTTCCGATCGGACAAAAATAAACCCGAGTACCGGTTCATGTCCATATGTTAATCATCTTTTACTTTTATTGATTCAATAGTTATTCGATAAACTAGTTATTCGATAAACTATTGATTCAATAGTTATTCGATAAACTATTGAATCAATAAAGTTAAAAGAACCGGTACTCGGGTTTATTTGTGTCCGAATTAACCCGATCGGAAATGTTGGAGGGTGATTTTCAAGGCAAAGACCCATATATGTAGGGTGATAAAGTTAGTTTAGATTTGGTTTAGGTTCTAAAACCTTTAGATTTCAAATTAAAACTAAAAACCAGGTTTTTAAATAATAATTTTAAACACAAGTTAAACTTGACTTGATTCAAACCCAAAATTTTAAAACCCAATTCTGAATATTTTTTAAGATATAAAAATAAAAATCTATTAATAAAAAGTTAATTCGTATCAAGCTTTAAAAAATATATATCTTGATCTTTTGAATAACTTTATTTAATATGCTAATATTTGATTTTATGAGGTAAAGGATAATATGGTGGCAGGTTACATAATATCGAAGCTAACACGAGGTCTATCAAATAGAGCCTAATGATTTTTATACCACTCAATTTATCTCCCCAATATGAATTAAAGGACATAAAAAAACATTCGTTTCTAGTAACCGAGAGCACTATATAAAATTGGCTATAAAAAAAAACATTTGATTAAATTTAAAAAATAACCGCAACCCGGCTTTTAATTTATTTATAAAAAATTATATATATATATATATATAAACATGAAAATTTTTTATAGATCTCTAAAAAAAAACTCACCCGCATAGTAAATTATAGTTAAAAAATTTTTTAGACTTTTCTTTATATATTAAATTCCGGTTGATCTACTTCCGACCGCTGTACAATTTTACTATCAACTACTATGGGATCTTTGGTTGAAGTAGGTGGCATAGTGTAATAAGATATTTTTCCAGAATTACAATCTTGTAAGACAATTCTCGCTGCCGACT